TTCTTTTTAGACCGCTTTGGTTACCATTGCCGAGCGCTTTTCCAGAAGATAATTAAGCATAAAGAGTTGAAAAATAAATTTTAAAAAATAAAAAGGGTCAACCAGTCTTAAGTGCGGCTCTGGGGAGAGACTGGCTCCCCCAAGGCACAGAAACTGGCTTCTCTGAGCCAACAGCGTAAGCGCCATAAAAATTAAAGGATGTGATAGTAACAACGCTCACAGCAAACACTCGCAGCGTTCCCTCCCGCCCCTCCCCTTCCTACGCTCTCTGTGAACCAACTTCTCTGTCTACACTTCAGAAGTCTCCGGGAGGTGTGGAGAGATCCTCCATCATGACTTGGGACATTGTAAGCTGTGAAGTTTATGTTTGTGGCGCCTGGGCTCAAACAGCCATTCAGTGGCTTGCTCAGTTATCAAGAAAACAACAATCAGAAGAGATCAGTAAACAGAATCAGCTGCCAGCGCCCTGAATTAACTACTTGCATTTTAGTTTAAAAACATTAACCCACACTGTACAAGTTAATTATTTTTATTTCAAATAGTTAGCAAGAATTCAAGATTTGGGGCCAGTTTTGAAGTAACATTTTTAAAATAAAGGTACACACAGAAAATCCTTTCCCCTTTTCTCCCTGAACCTCCAAAGAAAATTTGACTTGCCTTGTTGTGACTAATCTTTAACTGTTGATTAGCAGAAAGGAAGTAAATAGAACAGAAATCAAGCATAATTTGGATTATAAATTTCTTACAAAAATTGACTAAACTTTACAAATAAGAAAATAAGTAGTTCTGCTTAGTTTACTTGTAGTAGGGGTGGGATTAAAAACCCAAATTGGTTGAATTCCATCCACACATAGCTCTTCTCATGGTTTAAACAAAATTTTAACTTTTTTTTCTCATTTTTTTTAAGAAAATGGAAAAGACTAAGTAAATCCACATGGGGCTTACAAGAGATATATCAATGAAAACGATCTTATGGCTTAAAAGTTCAAGGTGCTAGGGAAATGCCAACTACTTCTAGGTACCTTAAAAGCACATTGTCTTTTGGCTACTAGTCAAAAGAATAAGATAGACCAAAAAAAGAGGTCAATGCAATGAGTCTAACAAGCTGGTTAGGATGAATAGCAGCAGAGCATCACAGAGTCATATATTTAATCTGGAATTCAAAAAAAAAAAAAAAACCCTTGTGAATTGGTAAGTGGGTACACACACCCACGAAGAATGTCAAATAACCAGAAATGTTATTTCAACAAAGAAAAAAAGTCTCTTCAAATATGGTTTTGACTTAGAAAAGAACTTTTTGAATGGTAAGGAAAGCCAGGTCCATTTAATGAAAGGGAAAGAGAGACAGTAAACTCAAATAGAAGATGTTATTGCTCTGAAACAATGGGGGGGGGGGAGGAATCCTCTCTGAGTATAGATGTTGATGTGGATTCCCTGATTTAAGGAGAGCATCCTGGATGTTGTTAGTTGCATTAGGTTTTAGCTTGCAGAAGCTGGAGGAAATGAGTCATAATATCCAGAAGGAAGAATTCAGAGTAATAAGGGGAGGGAGGATCAAAGATAATAGCAAACAGGAGGAATTTCATTAGAAGAGTACAGCTCAAAGCTAGGTCTCCAGAGGTATACAGGGAAGAGGAGAGTATGTGAGAGAGATGGTTTGCAAACAAGGAGACATTTCAGCTACACATTTTAGAGCACATGCTGAGGAGTCTAGAAGGGAACACACCTTTCATATGAATAATACAAGAACTAGAATGCAATCGACCCATCAATCCATTCTCAGCCATCAGGCAACAAATATCTTGAATCTAGCAAGTGAAACCAAATTGTTCATCACTCCCCTCCCAAATTACTGTACTTAAATTCAAGCTGTGGACCCCAGAATAGTCTGATATATATACATGTAAAACATCACCTCCTTCACCACCTCCCCACCCCTAATCTTGGGAATAAATGTCAGGATGAGAAAGCATCACAAAGATGTGTGCCTCATTTAAGTCCCTCCATTGCATTAAAACCCTAAATAAAGTTTGTGGGTTTTTTTCCCCCCATCTAACCTCTACAGAGTCCACCACAGGCTATGGCTGGAAAAAGGAATTTAATGGTCTCCAAACGAGGGCTTGGGAGATGAGTAACTGTGCAGACACCAATATTCAGGTTGGACCTACTTATCTTTGCACTTATTATTTAGAATTCCCAAATATGATGGGGAGGAAAAAGGAAAACTGAAATGGCAGGCAAATAGAAATGATGAGCGGGAAGGTGAAAGAGTCAAGTCTGATGCCAGAGATTAGAGAGAGATAAGAGAGAGAGACAGAGAGAGAGAGAGGGATCTTTTCAGGAGAAGATCTGTGTGAGATAAGACATAACTCCTGTTTTTCTCAACAGAAGACCACAAGCCATTATTACCGCCGGCCAAATTATTACCCCTCTGTGAAGAATTAGACACAACAATCAAAGTAATCAACGGGCATGTCTAATGCACTGTAACATTTTCAATGCAAAGTTTGTTTTCTCTCTGCCCCCACGTTAGAGCCTGTAATTAACCCGTTATGTAGAACGATGCCAAACAAAAGCCTAATTGAGGCTCGTTTCCCGACTTGCGGCAGGTTTGGAGAGGGTGAAAGCGACGTGAGAGCCCGGGAGCCGCGGGGCTCACCCGGCCTCCAGCCGGGCCTCCGAGCTGCTCCCGGTCAGGGGTCCGAAGGGGCACGCGCCACAAGACACACGATTAGGGTATGTTAGCTCTCGTATTTATTAAGAATTGTCAGATATTTAAAACGCCATGACACTCGCGCATACAAACGCATCCATTTTCTAAAGAGTCCAAGTATCATCCTGGGGTGGAGGACGGAAGGGGGACAGGGTGGAGCCCCAAATCCCAGCTCGACACCCGCAACCGAAGAAGCACCAAGAAGCCTGATTTCGGGCAGGGCCCTTTATCTATCCCTGGGTTCTGGCTCCCACACGGGAACCCCCGCTAAATGCCCGGGGCCGGGGAGGCGGGGAGCGTGGGAGCGCTCGTGCCCGTGGCTCCGAGCGCCGCGAGGGCCTGCACAGCACGCGCCGCGGCCCCAGCCCGCAGAAGGCGGTTCCCCGACGGAGCCTCGGCCGCGGTTCTCGGCAGAGGCTAGACAGCCTTCGGAGGGTTGGGGAGTTGGGAGTTGGGGGAGAAAGGGGAAAGGGGAGGGGAGGAGGAAACAAGTTGGGGGTGGGGAAGAGAGACCAGAAAAGACGTAAGCTGACTGCTCTGGGAATTGCTGAGAAAACTCTCTCGGCCTGCTCTTCCTGCGCAAAGAAAGCAGCATTTCTCAATCGGCTGACAGCCGCCACCGGTAAATAATGGTCATACCTCACTGACCAGGCAGAAAGGCTCTCTTTTAGCAAGAGCTTATACTTGAAATATGGGTCATTTCAACAATCCTAAACAGGAGACTTTGGTATAAAGCACTTACTCCAAGAAAATAAAATACTCAGAATCAAAACGCATTTCAAGCAGGACCTTCTTCCTATTTGGGGTGGGGTGGGGTGGAGTGGGATGGAGTGGGTCGGGCAAGAAAGGGGAGGAGAGGTGGGGGGTAGAACGGAGGACAGCATCTCATTTTCAAAAAAGCAGTTAGTAACATTATCACAGCTGAGAACTAAAGGCTTCCAACCAGTTTTGATTCAACTATTAAAATGCAAACTGGCAAGTTCGACCTTAACTATTTGCAATGAAACATCACACCTATTGTATGTCAGTCTACCCCGTTCACATGCAGTCCTTAATTGCAGACATTTTAATGGCTTACTTGTAAACATATAAAAGAGGGACCCTGGATCATTGCATTTATTTATTTATCTATGCCAAACGTTTATTAGTGAAATAGTCCTGAAGATATAATTCTACATATGGCGCTTTGATTTCACATAATATTTAAGAAAAAAGACAAAACACATAGAATTAGACATATAATTCAAAGACCACGGTATAACCTTTATCTTTTTTTTTTTACTTCAGCAAACAAAAAATGTCAAATGACATGAAAAGTGGCAAGTCTTTCGACAATAAATAATAAATTACTTTATACTTTTTGCAATGCAAGAGCAAACAAAAAAAAAGTTTCCTTTTTTTTTCCTCTTTATTTCCAGAGAGAGAGAAAACAGTCATTTTAACCAATAACTATACACATCTTTGGGGGAAAAGTTCTTGGACAGACACAAGTCAAACACAATCCCGAGACGCTTGTGGCAAAATAGAGGTAACCTTGTTGCAATGCTTTATAAGTTGGTTTTTAAATTTGAATTCAAAAACCTTTAAAGTCGCTTCTGACTTCTTGATAGAGGATGGATCTCAAAAAAAAAAAAAAAGCAAAGAAGAAGAAGAAGAAGTAGAAGAAGAAGAAGAAGAAGAAGGTTGGAGGGGCAAAAGTAAAAAAGAAACCAGCTACAGAACATGCTAAGAGACCCAGGATTTCAATTAACCCCTTGTTAAAGTCAACGAAAAACATCGCAAACCAACGCAGCTCCACCTTCCTGAAAGGACTTTCAGCCCAGGAGGCCAGTTTTCTCTTCCTGCTCACTTGCCGGAGCTCCTGTTTGGCAAGGCAATGACCAATATAGAAACAGCACCATTCAGAATAGGATGGACTAGAAAATCTCTATTTCTGCTTTTCTCTAGCTGTGCAGTGAAATGAAAATGCTTTTTTTGAGATCCTTGAATATAAATCCTCTACGTTTTAAAAACGTCTTTTTTTTTTCAGTACTCCTAAGGTCATTGGATAGCGTATGTTGGGTTTGGGTTTTGTTTGTTGTTTAATTCTAGTAAAATCCCATGATTGTCTTCACAGTGTTGCTACCATATCACCTTGTCATTAAAACAGACTTCGTGCATTTCATGGAGCATTCATTTCTCGATTCAGTTTTCATTGACTGGGTCGTTAAATACTTTTGTTTCGGAGTTCAACATTATATTTTCCCACTTTCTCCAGGGAAAAAAAATACATCTGAATGAATGTTCCTCATGCCTCAATAGGACTGGCTACCATGCTGTTAGGTGTATCTGGGAGCTGAGAGGACATCGACGCCACTTCACTGCCAGTGGAATTAGAGCCCGGTCCTCCTTCTGAAAAATTCACCTGCACAGAAGGTTGAGAAATGAATAAAGGAGGCTGCGACTGTATTCCTAAAAGGATTATAAGCTTGTCCTATGTGTCTATGCATGGACAAGTGTTTGTGTGTATAGATGGATACGTAGATAAAGATATCCACAGAGATCATTGAGTTTCAACAGGCTTAAAGAAAGCCCTCAAAGAAAAGAACTTGAGAAGAAAACCTCTCGCTTTCCCATCTTTCAAGAGATCTCTGTTTTAACTGAAACTGAATTCCCAACATTATGTTGCATTAAATTATTTAAGAACAAATGTGTTTCCCACTGTAAAATGGCATCGCAACTCTACCATGCATGCTCGAAATAAAATTATCCTGCTGGCTACATGTTGCCCTGGGAGCAGGCGACTTCGCAGTCTCTAGGCATCAAAGCCTCTCTTCTTGAGTTGGAAAATCCGTAACACACGCTCAGATCGCTCAGATCGTGTGACAGGAGATTCAGAGGAGGCTCCACAGAACAATGATTAACTCCTCAGAGGGTTCACAGCGTGGGCTTTCTTCCTTGTTGCTGGTCCTGATGCCTTCTGGCCTTTCTCTCTTTCTCTTTCTCTCTCTCTCTCTTTAAATCAGGCTCTTCCTTCCAAGAGGAGCCCCATATATTATAACGTCATCGCATTATAAATATCTGCCTCCTTCTTTTAAACCGAAAGTATTGTGTTGCTGTTGGAAACCTCCTTCTCCACTCTGTCCCCAACCCTCCGCCCTCCTGTCTTGGCTTCCCTCCCACTGCTCTCATCTAACACTAAAGTTTTAGAAGGTACAAACACTTCGCTGCCCTGAACCCTCCTCTTACCTGCCTTCTATGACCCGGGTTTTGCTTAAATAACACATAAGATTAACCTCACTTTAAAATAAGTTCTTTTTCCTAATTCCAGAGTCTACCTTCCTTTCTATCCTATTAAACTTTCCCATGGTGAGGTTAAGGGGCTTCTCCAATTTATCTAGCTTCTAGCCTGGCCCACTTACAAATGTAAAGCTGGGCCAAGTCCTTGTAACCACTGCCTCTGGTCTCTTACCTAACTGTTGCCACAGAGAAAGAAAATGCTCTCCAGGAAAATGCGAGGGTGAAAAGCTAACCTCAACTGAAGTTTTATTTTCAAAGAAAGGAACAAAGTTTTTAGAATAGATCTTGTTTTACAGAACAAGATTCTATAGGGCTGTTAACTCTTAAATAAAAATAAAATTATGTGTATATATGCCATATCACAAAGTACACATATTTAATAATTACTTGTCTTGATCCTCAAGCCTTTTGTAGGCATAAGGTAAGTTAATTTTCCCTTCCTTGGATGTGTAAAACATATTAATGCTAAAACAGGTTTTCATGTGCCGTCTCTCTGATTGGTAGAACTCTTGCTTCTTTTGCTGTACATCCCCCAGAGTATGTGATTATGTATAACGTCTGAACTCATACACTTAAAATGTTAAAGCAGTCCTACATTTTAGATTAAGATAGTCCTAGAAAGGAATAATAGTAACAAAGTATCAATCATACCCTTAAATAACTGAACTCTTTACTGATATATTTGAAAATTATACCCAGCCAAGTGCCTGCTGCCCATTGATAATAACGTTGATTGTGTCTTACATCAGTTATTATTACAAACAGCTAGATTTAGGTCTTTAAATATGCCATTCTCTAGGAGCTGAGGAGAGAATAAATTTACTATTTGCTGATCAAAATGTCAAGGTGATCTCTAAAGTCCCTTCCAGCTCTAAAAGTCTGAGATGTATGATTGTGCAACCCTGCACGCCTTCCCACACATGTCTAGTTAGTCTGATGCCTTGAAGTTACACCTCAAAGAAGGCCCGGCTGATAGGAAATTCAACCTATATGGTCAAGTTATGAACTCACAGAAAAGACTCACAAGAGGTTTGTTTTCCTTGAGTGCGTGCCTCCTCTCCACCAAGCCTCCTTCCTCTCTTCCCGACCCTGGGGCCAGGGAGGCACCCTCCCCACTGAATCCTTCCTCCTGTGACAGTTAAACCAGAATCTTCTTTTTGTCGGGGATTCAGCCTCCTGACTCCAAGAGCTGAGACTTACCAGTTGCTGAAAAGCAGGCTGATCTATGTCACTCTGCAAGGCGAAGTCACTCAGTACTTTCCAAGGCGGCTGGTAACTTTGCACCTCCACTGGGTTTGCCTGTAAGCCACCATCGTGTCTCTCTGGACTGGCAGCCACCATGGGAGTTCCTGTCATCCCCTGGATATTCTGTGAATAGGCCCCCCCCAATCCCAACATGTTAATGACCAAACTCCCTCCCTCCATTGTCTGCACAGGCTAAGCAAATAAACCCTGGCATTATCTTATCTATATAGTGACTATTATTGACTCAGTTAATCTGCTGCATGTATGGATATTAGCCAGAGTCCAGTTTTGTTTTATTGTATTTTGTTTTTCTGCTTCTGTGGGCGGGACTAGTAGGTCTGCTTGGATCTTATTAAACTGAGTTCTATTCTGATTTTCTCCTCTCCTTTCCTTTTACATTCACAGCATATCCCAATTCCCCACATCTGCCTTCACAGGCCATAGCATCACAGAAGCAGAAAGCTGAGGCAAAAGAGGCCTCCCAGCAGCCTCCAGACATGGTGGTTTTCTGGGCAGTTTCAGTTAGTTAGATTTTCAGTTACATTTTCTACAGGCAGTTCTCTTCACAGCGCCAGCCCCCACCCCCAAGGGTTTAGGTCTGGCGGCTATTGTGCTGTGACGCACTCACCAACCTGAAAAGTGCCCCAGACCAGGCTTGGCTGGCCTGCCAAGTTTAATGACAGCAGGGGTTTTATGGCATTTAAAAATAGGGCTGAAGCGGTAAAAAGAAAAAAAAAAAGTTCTTTAGTTTAACTCAATCAGGAAGCCTGTGGAGTGGGTGCTGGCATGGGCCTGGGATGACAGTAGATAATATCATCTCTGGAAGCCTGGGCTAGACCTAGAGCAGAGGGTGTCCTGTTTTCACAGGTCACCTTGGGGGACCTCACTGACCTGAGGGCGCTGGGGGCACACCCAGAGGGTTGCCTGGGTGACCTACCCATCAAACCTCTGAATTAGATAGGGAACCAAGGAATTGTCCCTCTCTCCGGTGCCTGGGGAACTGACAACCTGAAAGCTGGTAAAATGGAGCCAGGCCTTGCTGCCGCCTGCCCATGAAGGGGTGACCACATCCTTCTGGTTCCAGCCTAGGGGTATGGTTGAAGGGCACCCCACTGGTCAGGTGGCCGGTGCGGCTATTTCTCCCCTGGGCACAGGTGGAGGTAAGGGGTTGCTGGCTCCTGCCCTGGAGCAGGATGGAACCCATGTGCAGGCCAACCTGGGTAGCCGCCAAGCACCTCACACTCTTGCTCTGCTCCCGACCCCCCCCCCCCCCCCCCCCCCCCGCCCCCCCCGCAAGTACCCTACCCGGCTCCAGGGCCACTCACAGTTTTGTCATTGGGCTGCTGCTGCTGGAGCTGCTTCATCATGATGCTCCGCTTCTTGTCCTTGCACCGCTTGTTTTGAAACCAGACCCGGATCACGCGGGGACTGAGGCCTGTCATCTCCACCAGTTGCTCCTTCATGAGCGCGTCTGGCCGGGGGTTGGCGGCATAGCAGGTCCGCAAGGTGTGCAGCTGCTTCTCGTTCAGCACAGTCCGAACGCGGGTGGTCTTCTCGGGCTGCTTGTGGACATGGGGCCGCAGGGCCGGCTGCCGGGCAGAGATGGGCTCGGCTGTGAGGCAAGGGGCACTGAGGTGAGTGCAGGCCAGGCCGGGCTGCTCACCCTCCCGTGCAGTGCTGCAGGGACAATGGCTTGCTTTGCAGCCTCCACAGACAAAGCAGGGGAGGCAGAGGTAGGGACCACGGAAGCAAAAGAGAGAATGAAATCTGACTTTCTAGTCTGAGAGGTCAATGCTGACTAGTTTAGGCCCAGAACACAGCCTCTACCCTTGCTCTGGTCAACATAGCCTCAGAAAAGGGGTGGCCGTCTCAGGGGTAGCATCTTTCATCATTGTTTCTCTTTCCTCCAGGCCTTTCTTCATACCCAGACTGGGCCCAGGTTACTGGAGAACCCCCACTTCTAGACTCTTGGGCAAAGGCCACAGAAGGTGCTAGGAAAGGAAACGCAGTATACCCCAGCATCAGCCAGAGACACTACACCAGCCAAGAGGTCTCTAATGCAAAAGCCGAAGAGAATTCTGCCAGAAAGCCTTGAACTTCAGTCCAGCGGGGACAATCGTGTCAAGGGGCTAAAGAAATTCAGTATTTCGACCATAACTCCAGTCCTTGATCTTTCCTACTACTAAATCTACCTGGCCGTTCCTGAGATGGGCTGACTACATGCAAAGGAAAACCGAAACTGTAGAGCTGCAGATAAATGACAGCTGGGAAGTGTTCTGTCTCCTGACTTCCTCCCAGTATTTCTGCCTCTCCTCTGTCTCCCCACAAGCACAGCACAGGTTGCACAGGACAGAAATCACCACTCTGGCTTTGCCCATGTGCAAGCTAGTCACATATCCCCCTAGAAGAGAAGTCTTAGAGCCTCTGAAAAAGCAGAGTGGGAAGACCCGGGTTTCCTCAACATCAGTGTTTAGTGAGAATTGATACTTTAAAAATGAGCCAGGTAGATCTACTCATGAGGGGAAGAAAGGTTGGGAAACGTCATCTGCCTTCTTAGGGAAGGCCTCGTCCCGGCCAACCTTGCTTTACTTCAACTCTCCTTCTTGGGGAAGGGCTTTCTGAAATGTATGGCACAAATCCTGCACCTTCCAGGACCCCTAGGGTCAGGTCAAAACCTACTGGGTCAATTTAGTGTTACAGCGACAAGCCTGAAGATGAAATCCTCACCAAATCACATAGAATGAATGGTTTAAAGACGCAGGCTCCTTTTAAAAGTCAATTACTCCGGGTTAGCTTGTTGACAGTTTTAAATCACAGCTCTGTGCAATGGCCTGCAGTTATTGGACTGTATCTTTTCACGTCCATTCTTTCACAAAAGTACACACATTTTAAAAACGTTTTAGCTTGTGGGCCAGTTGCAAGGAAAAGGGATTTGAGGGGCTAAATGACTTAAGGCTACCTGAGCTTCCTTCATTGGGTTAAAGGAAGAAGCTCCAGGGCCCAGAGCTCCACCCCTTTAATTAGGCAGCGGCAGGAAGAATACCTGGCGGAGAGCTGAAGCCCATTTTCAGTAAGCTGCGGTTTGGAGGCCAAGGTGAACTGGAAGTACTGTTTGGACGTGTGTGTACATGTAAGCGCAAGTGGTGTACATTTATGTGTACCCATATATATACACACAGCCGCGTAGGTGTGCTGGACGGGGCGGGCGGGGGGGGG